TATCCGCAATTACAAAATAGCCATCAATGATAATTGATACAAACTTGGCAAGGAATTACGAACGAGACATCTGGCGGTACATTAATATGCGAGAGCGCTTATAATCAGTGCTCAGGAACAGAGGCGATATTAAATTGTGATCTGCAACGTCAAATCAACCAAATTTTTTTTGACGTTTGTGAAGCTTGTGGATATGTTAAAACAAATTTGAAAAAAATAATTTTTAAAAAGAATTATTTTTTCATTTTTTTCTAGAATCATCAACGTTTTTTGATGAAGAAAATATGGATTATTGCTAAAAAAACATTAAAAAACAACTTAAAAAAATGAGTAAAAAGTGAAAAATTATTTATTACATTGATTTTCAGCAAAACGACTTTAAACATTCCGGGCACTAGGAAAAAACAATCTCAGCGTTTTGAAATTATCTGGGTCTCTTTAAGACACTTTAAGGTTGGAAAGTTATAGTCGATATCCTTAGTTTATTCATTGTTTACAAAGTTATGCCAAGTTATTCAAATATCTCTAATTATACAATTTTTTACCTTTTTTCTAACCAACATTGAAAATACCCAAAATTTTGGGTTGTTTTTAGTATTTTAATTTCTGTGCCTAGTGTATATTGGAGTTATAGAAAAAAATCTTTAAAATACAGAAATAGGTCAGCTCATCTATTGTGGTTCATTATTATATGCGAGTTTATCTTTGCCAAAGAGGTAATGTTAGAAATAAGAAGAGATAATTTCTTTGAAAGTTTACAATATTTAATTACCTTTTTACATATTTCAGATATGTTTTTTTTTCATTATTAATTATATGAGTGGGACAATATGTTTGCTAGATACTGCGGGAGTCATTCAATGCTGTGTTCGGGGGCTTTAGTCCGCAGAGTAATTGTTTCCACAATATCATTAATAGTTTATCTTTGTTGATTTTTAGCATACCTTGGTGTAAAAGAGCATATATAAGTTTATCGGACGAGAATTTTAAGAAAATTTAATATAATTAATAATTTAATAGTTATCTAACGTATTAAAAATTATCTCTCAATATTATTAATTAAAAAACAGACCTGACATATTGAAATCCTTAAATAATGTAATCTATTCAAAAATATATTTTACTCTTGTTCTAACATAATTTTTGAGAAAGACCATTGACCAATATAAAGGGTGGTCCAAAAGTAACGCAGGATTTGAATTGTGCGCCATTTTCATTCCGAAGAGTTGGCAGCATTGTGCAGGATCACATGTAGTAAATACGTTGCGGTTAGACAAAATGGATCGCTATACGACGAATGAGCGAGTAAAGATTGTGAAAATGCATTACAAGTACGGAGAGTGTGTAGCTGAGACTGTGCGCAAATTATGTGGAATTTTCGGTGGAAGGAACATTCCGAATAAAACAAATGTTAGAAGATTAGTTGCCAAATTCAAGAACAACCACTGTATACCCAAAAAGTGACACTGTGGTGTGGATTTTATGCTGGTAGGATAGGATAATAAATTTTCACAACCTTCACTCGCTCATTTATCCATTTTCATTAACTGCGTGTACTACCACTTGTGACCCTGCCAGGGATCGAAGCCGGACCAGAATAGAAAGTCTCGCCGAAAAATGTTTGCCACCGCTCATAGACAAGATTTTGAATTGACGATATTGTGGGAAACAACTATACTCTACAGGTTACATGCTCCGAGTAGCATTGAATTATACCACCAATGTCTAATAAATTGTTTTCCGCAACAGATATGTCATCAATAACGAATCTCGTTTATGAGCGCGCAGAGTAGCTGTTGTACGAGACTATATTTTTTGCATACCTTAGATTTTTTGTGCCGGAGTTATTATAGAATCAATTGTATGTTTGAGTTTATAAATACTTTGGACTCCTTTTTTGAACAATACGATTAAAAATTTAAAAAAATGACGAAATTCATGTTACATATTTTAGGCAAATCTTTTGATAACAATTATAGAAAAAATGGGAAATAACTCTGTTTGGTCATGTTCCGAGCTGTACGGAACTGGTACAAGTCTTGTGGGAGCAAACCCATTAATAAGTCAGATTCTAAATTCATTCAAAACTTAATAATACACGTACAACTGCAACTGTTTTCGTTGTAATTTTTAAATTATCAAAACCGTACAGAATAGAGAGTATTAACCTTTTACGTGACTCAGTGTTTTAAATGGTGTAGTATAAAGGAAATTCCAACAAAAAGGGGCCACTTTGAGGAACAGTAGGTACAATTTTTTAATATGAGAATTTCTGATCCAGGTCAATTTTTATTAAAATTGCACATGTACACCATATATATAAGGTGTCTCAAAAAGAAATAACCAAATTTAATTTGCAAAACCTTGGTTAACTTATCTCTAATGGATAACGTTAAAAAATTGTACCAAAAGAGAGAGTTATGCGTTGGACAACTTTTTTTCGGACGTTCTATCTAAGAAGATAATGACGATTCACTGTTTTGGACAATATTAAAAAAATAGGTTATAAGTTCCCATTGGATTATAAAAAAAGAAGAGAGTATACAAAAATGTATTTAAGGAACTTTTTAAATTAATAGTCTCCTAGAAAAAGTGTCTTCGTCTCATTTATATGAATATTTGAGGCTTTGTTGCCTACTACAAATTCAGAAAATTCGTTTGGGTAGTCTATTTATTCTACCTTCTGTTGTTGGAGTAGTCTATTTTTTTCTACCTTTTGTTTGAGTAGTATATTAGTTTACCTTCTTTTCATACATTTCAGAATATTTCTTGTAGTGCTCAGTATTTACTTATTGTATAATCTAATCACATTTACAAGCGTTATGAATTTTAAAATCACTGTCCTTAGAATCAGAGGAAAATACACATGTTGGCACCATTTTGCAAAGATCTCTGGGTTTAAGCAGATTCCACGTTTTTATTTTAATATGTGATACTTCTAAATTTATAGAATAAATATGAACTGAATGTTAAATGTACACATATATATTTTTTAATTGCAGGCATAATTCGCCATGTAAATGAATAAAATGAACGTAATTCTTCAAAATTTCAAATATTTAGGGATATAAACTTTATCAAAATCCATCTGTTCATATGTATGTATATTTTGAGGACCGCTATCTACGTGGAAGATAACCACTGATTAGTTTGACAATTCATATGTCAAGAAAATTATTTGTAATAACACCTCAGGCTTTTAGGTTCGTGCTACAGGTTAAATCTAGCTCTAATGTATTGTGATGGATTCCAGTTAAAAAAACTAGAGTAGTCATAGCATTCCAAACTAGAGAACATTAAAATTACAATAAAAAAATTGCAAAACACAAACAACGCATATTATTAAATTTGAATTGAGACATACGTATGTTGATTTTGTACAGATATTCTTTAAATATAACACTGCCCACCAATATAAAATGATTTTCAAAGCACTGTCTTGTTTACAATAAACCGCAGCGCTCGTCCCGAATTATGTGGACGATTAAACATTGAATTTAAAAGAATGCTTATTTATTTAACTTTCCTATTTATTCCTATTTCATAAAAAAAAAATAATTTAAGAATTCTGTGGAACAACGTAATCTCCAATATCAAGTGTAACACTTGCTTATTTTTTAAATATTCTAATAATAGGAATCAATATATATTTTAATATGAAATGAAAACTATCGTAGTTGCTTTGAATCAAACCTCAGCTGTTTACACGGAATGCACCAGCCAAGTGTTTATTTGCCCTTGAGATAATGTAATTTATGAGTATTCGAGTACAATGTAGCCCGGAATAATGGAACTAAGAGAGGGTGTTCTTTATGATAGTGGTGTCTGGTTAGCGCCCAAATAAGGCTGATTTTTATATTTATGTGCTAGCTTGAATACATTTGTTTAATGAATTGTGAATTTGTGAGTAATATGTCATACTCGTTTATGTTTCTGAAAACCCCAGGGCGCTACGTGTTCGCGGTCTTAATGGCTGTGGTTCCTTCGAAGTATGCTTTGTAAGTTCTACGGGGTCTTACATGCGTTTCGATACTGGGTGATGTTGAGGTAGGTGACATAATATGACTCGGTAGTTTTGCTAATTAATATAATGGAAACGTATGGAAACGTAAAGTTAGGGGGAGTATAACCCCTTGGTGAGTTACCTATTTATTTGTTTTTTTATTGACAGAACAGTAACTTTGATATTTGTTTCATATACTTTTAATTTATGGCGAATGATCCGGCTGTTGTCGAGATAAACTACTTTGTGATGACCCATCACGGTAACAATATTAACAATAACATCTGTTTTACATAAGTTTTATATTAAAAAGTGAAGCATATTTATTCTAAATTTGACTTTTCTTCAACTTTGTTCGCATAAAAACTATTAATTACATGTTACAATAACTTTTTTATGGATGGCATTCAAAGAGATATCATAAAATATATGTATCGAATATAGAATATTTTTGTTCTTACATAGGTGGGGCGTCATACATCACTTTTGGCGGTAAATTTAAACATAAACAGTTCAACCGGAGTAAATTTACGAGTGATAAACGGAACTAGATGTGTAAACGCAGAAGTGAGTTGACGAATGTGTATTCGACAAAAGCAATAGAGAGACAGAGAGCGAGATGTCCAATATCCTATTGAAGGCGAATCCAACTCACCCGCAAACTTATTCCTGTTGGCCTGCAATTTCAGTATCCAAACTCTATTTTTCTTTTTTAAACCTAATTAGATAGCGCCAATGTAAACTAGAACGTATTTACTCTGTTCAAATCAATTTGTTTGACTCACTCATAGATTCGTAAGGATCAAAGACAAAAATAGAAACATTGATGGAGGAATGCTTCAAAGGCAACGACTATTCACGGAATCATCAGTTTAGGATGATATACGCTTTTAAATCAAAGATTAAACACTTAGATCGCATCTAGATGTACCAAAACACAAAAAAGCAACCACCACCACTCACCAAGTAGAAGAAAAAAAATATATATAAAACGTACCCCTGCGCTTGATCCTACTAACGTCCGGCTGACTCTTACTGTAGTCCTGTCTGAGGTTCTTCAGCGAATCCACGAATTCCCTCTTACATGAGTCGTTATCTGAGAGGTCAGGCTGTGAACTCGTCAGCCTCACCGGCGTCGCCAGACGCGCCTTCGGCTTGTAAATCTGTTTGGGCGGGGAGGGGCGCCTCTCGGGCGACGAACTGCCGAAACTGTAACTGGACTCTCTATCAGGCGTCACGGTGGACACGCTATCGTCGCGCCAGTTCACTTCGGATACCACCGGCGAGAAGTGGACGCCTTTGGAGCAATTCGAGCCAGTGAAGCTCCTGACGGACGTCATCGTTTTGTCTTCGGCATCCGATATGCCGCTGGTGCTCGTGCTGGACTTGATGATGCTACCCTTGCGTCTGATGTCCTGCACGGACTTACGCCGCTCCTCGTCGAAGTAGCTTTGAATTGGGTCTGGTTGGCTAGACGTCGAGGCTAGGTTGGGAGTGCTGGCAACGTTGCGCCTTTCCGTAGCGGAGATCGGAGTCGAGGTGAAGGCTTCATCAGCCAGTTTGGAGAACTTGTCACTGGACATCTTCAAGTTCTGCGTGCTGCTCACCAAGCTCTGTAGACTTTGTTCGGAGATGGTCTTCAACACTTTCTTGTCAAAGTCCACTATGGGCGTTTTGGGCAACTTAGGCTTCTTCTTGTTGTATAAACTGTGCTCGTCGTCGCTCAAGTCCACTCTATTGGACATAGCCTCCGTGTAGCTTCCCTCTCTCTTGTAGTTACTCATCTCTTCCGCTTCCAATGAATTTTCTAGGTTAGCACTACAGTTTAATTCATTGTTTTCGAACCGCAGATCGGCCAAATTCCAATCCTTCACCGCGACAGAGTCCGCGCCGGTGTTGCAGCATCCGCTGCGGTTAAACTTTCCGATGAAATTCAGATCTTTCGGCACGCTCGACACGACAACTGCGCCGGTGGTCGGTTCTGGCTTCCTACTGATCGTCCGCAGCAAGTTGGGTTCACTGGTGGACGACTGCGGTTTAAAATTAGACCGTCGGTCGCATTCTTGGCGAGTGTCTATATTTAAGGCGTCCGTCACGGCGCTGTGGGTATGGTCGTTGATTTGCCGCTGTCGCTTGTTCTTGACGAAGTGGTCGATTAGGGGGGAGGTTTTCACCACGTCCAGGTGGTCGTCCCTGAAGACGGTCAGGTCCTGGTAGCTGACGCCGAAGTTGCCGCTGAAGTTCTGCAACAAAAGGCCAAAAATCACCAAAACGCCTTTCTCCCAATACAAGAATATACAAAGTGCCCCGCGAGCACAAGGAAAAACTTTAAAGGAACATTGTACAAGTAAAAAATATCCAAAAACGATTTATATAGAGTGTAACCTTAAATAGGGGAAAGATAGGAGTAATACTGTTTCCCAGGACACAACAACGTACAGAATAAATAGTGTCATCATTCGTTTTTTACACAGCATCTGTCTACGCCGCTACTGGGCAGCTCCCGAACTCTGTTGTTACCTTTTTATACCTACTGCATGAAACTGAGTGGCAGAAGGCGAAATCGCAATAGAAAATAATTTAGTAAAAACATATTTACGAAACATTACGAAAAGTTATTTTAAAGTCGTCAGAGTTCTTTTATGTAAATGATGACTATGCGCAGAACTATAAAAAAAACTACCTACTGTTCTGCTTATTGTATTAGCTATTAAAACACTTTGAATACTTTCATATATCACCCTGTATATTCGAAAATAATTTTAAAACTATACTTTTTTACAATCTCCCACTTTTATCAGGTGTTGTTTATTGCACCTTTACTGTTATATTAATTGCCCACCGTGTATATGCAAATTTATAGTCGTTAGCTAAGTATTTTAAACAAAACAAAGCCTAAGCGAGGAAAAATATCGCAGTAACATAAAAAATAGATCCATATGCATCTGATTTTACTTAAAATTAATGGATTATTTGCGTACTATTTTTCAAACTAATTGATGAGGGTTTAAACAATGTACACTCTATAAATCTGTTTGAAATATCTACTAGTTATTTTGGTGTCAGGATAATGACAGGATTGTTAAGATATTGTACGCAAATCTGAGAAATTTGAAGTAGAGCAATGCAAGTGTTTTTTTATACATATAGCTTGGCATTATAAAAATCCGATATGTAATCATTAAAATTCGTCGATGAAGAAACATCACACTTAAATGTCTACCACATTGATGTTGCCACGACTGAATAGAATATATCTTTTCCAAGTGTCAGAGCTTAACCAAAATAAAATAGTAGTCGTGTTTAAAATTAGAAAAATCCTAAAAATATACAGGTATTTCATTTATTAGAATACCAATTTAAGAGGCTTAACGGTTGAATCTTACGTAAGACAAGATTAATAAATTTTCGACTTTCTCGTTAAGATATTTAACTAAAGAATAATAGTAAAATTTAAAATGAATTCACCATTGAAAAGAATGAGTTACACCACTAGTGAAAGATGTGATAAGCCAGCCCTAGTCTTAAAATATACTTTACTCGAATACGTAAAGGTACGTACAGACTACAACCAATTGCTCGCGTGCAACAGGGCTGCAGATAAACAAAAAATTTTTGTTCTCTAAATTCGCTCATTATAATCAAATACAAAAGATACTCTGCACGAATCAACCGTTAGCCGTCAAAATCGATGAATAGCTTTTTTGAAAGTGTTTATACATTATTTTGGGCTAATTAAGACGAAAAATGTATTAAAATGTACCACAATCTGTAGAAATCGCTAATTAAGTTTTTCAAAAGTCGTATAGCAATTGAAGTTGCATGTAATTAAATGATATCCGAGATGAAATCGTTTTAGCTGTTTTTTTGTAAATTAAAAATATATTTTTCTACTCCCATACTTTAGCTGATTTGTGGAACAGTACCTACACAAGACCAGGGAATAATTTATTACCCGTAAAATTTGCAAAAACACATGAAATCTTTTACTCTTAGTCATAAGTCACTTATTGGAATTTACAGATGAGAATGATTTTGGAGCAACCCTTTTAGTCACAATTAAAACAACAAGAAAATTCACAGTCACGATAAAATATAAAATTGCAACACGTAAATGAATCTTCATCCAAATAATTCTTTTTAGATGAAGCGCCTAAAGCGTCTTTCTTTATCAATTACGTAAATTGAAAACGTAGGAATAGAAAAATTTGGAAACATGGAAAATAAAATTACTACTTACTTAAACCTTCCGAATCTCAATTTACAAACCGGACACCGCATCCGCCGCAGTTCTGCCACAATATCGGTTGATACTATCACGTCACTGGAACGCCATGGTGCATGGAAATCCACAACAATGACCGAAGCTACATTGACGAATCAATTCAAAATAAAATTAACGTGCCCAATCAAATTTTGAATTCGACTGAATACAACCAAACCAGCAATTTAACAAACAATCCTCTATTAACACCTGCAAAGGCATCCACCAGTATTGTTAAACAACTGTCAGAAGTGCAGTTGCATTATAATAATAATACAGGGTGTTCTACAAGCTCTATGACACACCTTGACAAATGGTAACTGGGTTAATTTCATTATTTCTTATATGATAGGTCCGATTCGTTTTTGTTTAGTTACAAGCATTTAAAAACTATATAATTTCATATTTTAACCAAAGTAGTCCAATAAATAAAAATGATGCTTGTTATAACAATAATTATTATTTGTATCATTTTGTTTATGCAGTTGACACTTAGCTTTAAAGTGGTAAATAAATAATGCACTTATTTACAACTGAAGAGTACGCAGATAATGTCCAGCAACCATCATTTTTATTTATCAGGCCACTTTGATTGAAATATATATGAACTATATTTCTTGAAATATGTTCATATAAGAAAAAAATGTTTAAAATTGGCCCAGCTACCATAAGTATAAATCACAAAGAATAATTCTAATATTTCTTTTCTTTTTCAATTCTGATTTTCTGACATTTCTGTGTTTTGTTTGTGATATAATTTCCATTACATTTCTTTAGTCCTTACTTCTACAACGGGGGAAATCGTCAAATAAGAAAGTTTTGCTAAGATAATCAGCATTGTAATAGTCATTTTTGTTATTAGTGTTAAAATATCATGCCAAACTTGAAAAAAATTAGTTTGCTAACACGACTTTATTACCATAAGTCGATGCTTTAATAAAACAAGAGGGCACCTTACGGTGAATAAATAATTTTTTTCTAGTATCTTTTCAGTAAAGGTAAGTAGATAAATTATTACGTTAACGATATTAACGGTTAAAAATAATTTACCTATGGCGAAATAAAAATAACAGTAGCTATATATTCTTTTAGTGCGTAGTAATCATAGTTGACACGCAGACGCGAGCCATTTTGTGTCCAATATTGCACCAAGAAGGATACCTTGTCCATCTTTCATACAAATAACGTAATATATTATGTCAGTAGTTTATAACAACAAAGCTTTGATTGTGGGTTGCATATACATTGTGTGAAGGAAAATAATGTCATGTAAAAGATTGGAANTACCTAGTTCTGAAAATAGAGATTAATTTTCGACACATGCTCTATCTTAAACTGAAGGAATTTATAGTAGGATCATATTCGATGCAAAGTAATAAATCATTGCCTGTCAATGGATCCAGTGCAGTACGGTTTTAAGGGGTTTAGAAATTGAATAATTTATGCATTATGAAGGGATGAAGGGATCAGTTCACGTCTGGCACCCTATTCCTATAAAAATCCCTTTATTCTCATACACTATTTATTTTAAATGTAATTTATTATAAATCCAATTTGTTTTTTAAATTCCACATATGTACTATATTTCACATCTGTACTCGCTACTAATGTTTAACTGTTTTTTGAAAGCGGTCTCTGATGTACGATCAAGCTCATCAGGTTAGTATTTGACATATAACCGACCACTTCGTACAGTTGATGCACCTGGGCGACTACAGCTACTACTATTACATTCAATTTCATTTTAAATTTAAAATGGTTCATCTTACCTTACGCTTCATAAAAATGATGACACGAATTTCCTTAAATAAAAGATCGACAATTTTTTGCTCAACTTTGCATCGAATACGATCCTACTATATGTGTAGTAATGTTCATAAGTTATTAACTTTTGGTTATACTTTTGTTTTATATTTAAAAAGTTAAAAGTGAACAGCGAGGAATGGTGAAACTTTCCAATTACAGATATCTCTTTTTTGCATCTTTTTAAATACCTATGAAGGGGAAAATAAATTAATAATTGATTCTTGCTAAGTGCTCATATTTATAGTAAAAAAATTCACAGTAAGTCACTTATGTGAAATAAAAATATAAATTTGCTGGTATTATCATAATCCTCGTCATCTTAGAATGACAACCTAGCAATCGCGGTAAAAACTTTTGCTAGAAATGGGATTACAACAATAAATAAAAAGTTAGCGAAAAACTATTTAACCACGAATAGGCTCCGTTAGAAAAATATTTTGTATTATGACAGTACCTACCGTAACCTTTCCTGAGTATTTAAAGCAGATATTGTATTAATCAATTTCCACTTATGGTTTATGATATTTCCCTCAGTGTAATGTCATTATAAATTTAATAAATTTTATAAATAAAGTGCTCATTTTTCATTGTTACGCCTGGAAACAGAAGAAATAATGTACGTAACAACGTTAATGGTTCTTAATGTAGCATGGGCGTAGCTATAACTTTGTCATTGGGGGTCCAAGGGACCAAAAATGTAGTAGTCTAGTTTTTGCCCGAACTTCATGCAGAAAAAGGCAGAATTCTAAACTAGGGGGTCCGGACCCTCTAAACGCCCCCTCATATACGCCCATGTATTCATGCATTCGTATTCCTAACAATACTTGTCTACGGCTGCTATCGCATTTCTCATATTCCTGTCTTAATAGCTACCATTAAATTGAATAAAAAAAATATACTATTTTATTTCAAACTTCAAATCTCGCGTTTAAAAGCGTTTTCGGGCACATGTTTTTCTCACACAGTGCCCATACTGCACAACCTTGAGGAAAACCTCAACTCACCTGGAACACGTCTCCGTCATAAGCAGCGAACCCAACGTAGGAATTCTTCTTCTCCGGGCAACTCCTCATGCTCTTCAGCTTCACATCACTCTTCTCCTTCAGGTTATTCGCACTAGAGGACTTCGTGAGGTGGTCACTATAACCGCTGTCTTCACTTAAATTTTCCACTGATGCTTTTTCTTTCACCCCCCTATTATTGCTTATGGGAAGACTATCGAAGCTCCTCCAGGTCTTTAAATTGTCATAGGACCTAGACGCTTCTAAGGTCACGTCGCTGTCGCTCGAATCAGACCCAGAGTACCTCGCAGTGTTGTACAGCAGGCTGTCGTTACTTTTCTCTTTCATTCGAGGTATGTCAATCTTCAGAGACTTATAAAAATCGCTCTCCTCTTCAGCGATCTCGCTTCTGGGGCTGTTGAGGCTGTCGGGGCTGAGGTTGCTTTTTCTGTTGCTGGCCTCTAGCGAGTCGAAACTGTACTGGGAGTAGAGGCTCGGGGAGCTGGAGCAAGTTTCTTGGCACTGTTTTTCCAGAGTCTCGAACTGCAGGAGGCTGCTGGACCTGCTGAGGGAGTTTAGGTCGTCTTCGGCGTTTGGCAAGTTCAAGTACAAGTCTTGTTTCCGTCTTTTGGCTGGGCAGGCTAGTTCGCGGTCGGAGTCGCACTCTAAGTCATCTGCAACAAACGAAAACATGCTTAAAACTTGGATTATTGCGAATGTTTATTTCCGCAGCGCATGGAACTAAACGCCTGTAGTCGGCTGGACAGTGAAAATTTTTGTTAAATAAAGTTTTATAATTACTGAAGCAATAACAATCGCCCCTTGTCATATTTGACTTTGAAGAGATTTCTATTTATTTATTATTACAAAATAAATATCTTCCTATATTTTATAACAATCGAAATACTAAGTTGCTAAGGTGTTTCCTTGTCACAGTTACAAGAGGTTGTTCCTTGAATCAATTTAAGCTTAAATGTCCCTAATAAACCAATAGTCTAAAATCAGTGGTTTTCGAAATACAGAACGTTCAAGTTAAATTATTATGGTTTTTTAATTTAAAATAAGCAAAAAAACGTAGATCAACTTTTTGTCCGAAAAAATTGTAGGTAATCATCAAGATTTAAAAAAATCATTGACATAGAAATATTTAATTTATCTGAGGAAGAGAGAGGGATGACAATTCCCAAAATTTCTAAGCTAATTTGTAAGTTTTTTGGATTTCTCATACCGTAAAATTGTATTATTAGAAACATTGAAGGTTACTCGAAAATAGCTCGTTTTTTTAATGAAATGAAAGATCCCTTTTTTAGAAATAACAGGAATATTTTCAATATTATTAGCGTCGGAATTCTGGGGTTGTCACTGACAGTGTTTTCCAGTATCTCTGCTATTGGTTGAACAATTTACATATCATTACAGCGAATTTTTGTTTTTAACTAATTATATTATTAACCCAATTTTATTACTACTAATAAACATATTTTTTTAATTAACGCTCTGTATCTCGAAACCCAGTGGCTTTACATCTTTGGTTCATTAAGACCTTTTAGTCAAAAGTCGCCCAAGAACTAACCTTTTGAAGTTATAGCATAAACTTGAAAACACTCCGTAAACAGAAAGAATCAGAAATATGTATATACAGTTTACATGTAAGTAATTAATAGTTTTCCAGTGAAAAAAAAAAAATAGGAAGTTTAAAATAAATATTCTTTATTTTTTTTACAGAAAACTTGTTGAGAACCGCTGATTTCACTTTGGTATTTACGCATAACGTAATTTGTCTGTTTTGAATGGGATATCAATTATGCAGTAGTGCCAGCGTTAAACTTCAATATTTATATGAAATAGAAAGAAAAAAGTTAAATAAATAGGCATTTAAAAATTATTTTTCCAATTTTCTTATTATTGCATTATTAAAATAATGTTAATATGTATTTTCAAGTGCTATACTTAGAGGTTATGATGTTAGCTTCACAGATTGACGTATTTTATTGTCTGTGTGTGGAATTTATCAATAATTAGACGTTTGTTTTTATTTTTAAGGAATTTAACAGATTTGCTTTTTAAACAGTACAATTTTAAACTTGATAGTTTAGGATTGTCTTTATTATGAAGTAAAAATTTAGGTTATAATCACAAACCAGTTAGTACTTCTTCAACCAAAATTCGTGACAATACATTAGAATTAGATTTAACTTACAATCGAATCTAAAAGATCGAGGTCTTATTCCAAATAATTTTCTTGACATATGACTTGACAAACACGCAGCTCGTTGATACGCATGCATAAGTAAATACGTTCTATTTGAACAGCGGTTCTCAAAATGTATATGCGAATGAATAGATTAAAAAATATATCTCCTATTTAGTCGCAATTTTGACCCACTGGATTCATTTTATGATGCGGATTATAAAATATATATCCACCGTTTATACAGAGTGTAACTAAGATGTTTGTACACATTTTAATGGCCAAGTCTGTATGACAAATTAATAAATAATGTGTCCGGAAAAGTTTCGTTTTTAGAGATACAGGATGTTCAAAATTAATGACAAGATACACTTCATATTAAGTTTGAACACTCTGTATCTATAAAAGGAAGCGTTTCCGACTAAAAGTTTGGAGCCTTTATAGCCTAGAGCCAACACCCTGTATAACTACTCTGTCAAATATAGTGAATGTTTGATTCTACAATAAAAACAATATAGACAACGGTCTATGAAAATTTATTCTTTTTAAAATAAACAACATTTTTATAAATTTTCTTTATCAGTACTACATTAACATTCTCTATACCCATATTATAGGCATAGATAGTACCACGCAGTACATAAATTAAATACAGTTACGATAAAAATAACTAGTAAATATATTTATCTTTAAGCAATCATATTTCTAAGCTATGCTTGTCACATTCGTTTTAATGCTTCTTTTATCAAACAAAAATATTAGAAACATGTTTTACAAATGGAATTATAAATTTTGGATACCAGTCGAATTAAAATAATTAAATTGATCATTACTTGTACTCATTGAACAAAACGGGAAAATTCGACATCAAACAAAATTACCAGCAACTAGGTAGGTATCAAAATTTGATGAGCCACAAAAAATTTCACTGTCTCAGGCGAATGTGCGTACCACTATGAATATGGCCCGCGAACTAAAACAAGAAATAGCACTTGTAGAACTTGATAAAATGAAAAAAACAACTTGTAAAAATGCCAATTGTTTTAATTCATACGGTGCGTCAATTGCCAAATTAAAATTAGAAATAAAATAATCAGGTGCAGACGCATAATTAAAAAAGTGGTCTTAATTAAAAGTAGGTAGACTTACAGTGGTAATAGCTGTCCTTGTTTGTGTGTAAATAAGAAATCGTTTAGATATTATTAATAAAATGTATTTGGGTCAGTTATAAAAAAATATTTAAATTTAGGTACAACTGAGATAATTATAATAAACCGACGTTGATACGAGTAGAAATGCCTAACCTGGTTTTGATTTAACTGTTCAATTTATTTGTCCATTACCCTTTGTTAATAAAAAGAAAGTTAAAGTTATTACATAAATAAATAATTCGTATAGCATCAATTAGTTATATTCGAGTAGATCCTAAATTATCGTTATGCAACTCATATAACAACACGGTGAATGTATGGTTGCCTACACTAATTTAATTTTTGAAAGTATACCGTTTAGACTCGACGAAAGACTATATTCTACAAGGGCTTTTTTCTAAAATGTCTAGAAATAAAATCGTAATTTGTTAATTACACCAATAAAAACATTTTCGTCCCACATATCAAAATATGGCGTTCTAACGAATAATAATAATAATATGGGAATCGTATTAATGTTCTAAATATAATTATCTATTTCATAAATAAAAAGTTATTCAGTATAATAGATACGTATTTTTAATTTTGAATCCTTAAAATCTAATAATATCGAATGAAAAAATCTGTATAATTTGGCAAATACATAGTTATCTACAATTCGAACAGACTTACTACTGATTGAGAGATAATTTAGTAAACAGATTAAGTAGTTCAATGATGTAAACTCCTAAGTAAATTTTGCAAGGAATTGTCGTCACAGTTTTATCAGCGACCAATTTGTCATCATTCTAGATCGATCATACGGAGTACTTAAAAATTTTAGCAGCTAGATAAGAAACGTCCTTGTGAAGGTCGCTTAAATCAGCGAGAAATATTGTAAAACTTTACATGCCTGTAAATCATAAAAACGTATATATAATGTCTTAGAAAACTGTTCTTAGAATAACTACGAATTCATAAAATAAAAACAGTTGTCCTAATTTAAATTAGTCCAGAAATCCTTCGTTTAAACTTTACAAGTTTTAACAATTCACTTTTGATATAGTTTTATACTGAGAACGAGTTACAGGGAAAAAAATTGGGGAAAATTGAAAAATTTAAGAGGGTCGAAATAAAAAGACTTGAAAATAACACAGCCACACAAAAAAAGAAAAGTAGTCTATACTTTTCATGCGACATATGTTATCTGTAGAATTTTCGCCTACTGATCACGAATCTGGTGTCAGAATTGAGCCATCACATCACAGGAATTGCCTAACCTCAAAGACAGGTAAAAAATTCATGAAAAAGTGCTAAAAAAAATACAAAAAAATTTGTTTTCTATATTCAAATGTTCATTTACATAGTTATTAAGACTCCGCCCAACGTGAATCCGCGGTCAGAATTAATGGTTCTTTTTCTAACCTCAAAAAAAACGGGTCAATTAAAGTCAGATATCACAAATTTTTAAAAAATAACAGAATCGCAGCAAATTTGGTATACGGGGGTTTTCGGGATCGCTGACTACGGATCCGAGGTCAATTTTGCAAAATTCAAGATGGCGGATCCAAAATGGCCGACCAAATTTTCAAATATTAACAGAATCCCAGCAAATTTGGTATACGGGGTTTTCGGGGTCGCTGATTACGTATTTGCGAAACTCATTTTGTAATATTTTACTTTATAACCTGAGTACCCAATCATGTGTTAATCCACTTTTTTCGGCTATATCTTGTTCTTCTTTCTGTAAAAGATCTATTCACGGGTTGAATTTTGTAAATCTGATCTCGGATTCGTGATCAGTGACCTCGAAAACCCCCCTATACCAAATTTGGCGCGAATGTGTTATTTTTTGAAAATTTGGTCGGCCGCCACCTTGAATTTTGCAAAATTGACCTCGAATTCGTGTTCAGCGACCCCGAAAACTCCTTTATACCAAATTTGATGCGAATCTGTTATTTTTTGAAAATTTGGTCGGCCATCTTGGTTCCGCCATCTTAAATTTTGCAAAATTGACCTCGGATCCGTGATCAGCGACCCCAACAACCTCCGTATACCAAATTTGGCGCGAATTTGTTATTTTTTGAAAATTCGTGATATCTGACCTTAATTGACCTGTTTTTTTGAGGTTAGAATAAGAACCATCAATTCTGACCGCTAATTCACGTTCAGCAGGGTCTTAACTATATAAATGAACATTTGAATATAGAAAAAAAATTCTAGTTTTCCTAGCATTTTTTCGAAAATTTTTGCTATTTTTGACCTGTTTTTTGAGGTTACCTGTGATGTGAGAGCTCAATTCTAACACCGAATTCGTGATCAGGAGGCAAAAATACTACTGATGACATATGTC